CCCCCCCCCCCCGGGGTAGAAATAAAGCTGCGTTTTCAAATTCCTTTGGCGTAGTGTGGACACTGCCTAAGATTTAGATGGATTTCAGACAACAAACTCTTTCTTCACACTGTAATTTAAAAACTTGCTCTTCATCAAACTTTGTTACAAAATCCCTTTGATCAAATGGTACTGTGGTTGAGCCGTTTAGACTGATATCTTTTACCTCATTCTCCTTCCAGGGAATGCCAAGTCAAACACTGGAGTAAACACAAGCCTACTTGCAATCTGATAGTGGAATCTAAAACATAATGATACAATCACCCGGTTGTTAGATGTTTACAAATTTTGGTTGAAAGGTTGCCCATATTTGCCAGAGTGTACCCAGTGGAATATCAAAGTGACTCAGAGGCACAAAGGATTTTGAGGGGTACAAAGAGGGGTGGCAAAAAGTTGTTGAGGTGTCTGGGTATTCAAGGTTTCTGTAGTCATAGCTTCATTTGCACTTCTGTGTCTCTTTTTACCTTGACTTCCCCTCCTGGTTGGGGGTGTGGCAGCCTGTTAATGTGTTGTTCCAGAAAATGTCCATACCCCTAGAGGAGGGTAGAGGGTTTTTGGATTGACCCACCCCCTCCCTATCCCTCTGGAAATACCAGTTTTGGTTAATAGTTTCCCTTAAGAATTTTGGCTTTTGAGGCCCCCCTCCCCTGTGGAATTCCCAAAAGCCTTTTTTCAGGGTGATTTTGGATATTTTCTGGAACCTCACAAAACAGCAATGTCTTATCATGTCCATGATGTGATGTTATTGGATGAGAACTGGTTGAATAGGCTGTTCTCGATATATTAAAACTTCAGCTTGGCAGTGAGGCCTAGAGGATGCAAACAAAGGGAATTGAATGACCATGTTTATTCATTTCTTTTGTTTGCGTCCTCTTGAACACAAACAAGCTGAATTTTAATATGTCAAAAGTGACCTATTTGCAGATTAGAATTATTGTCAGTAAATATTTATTTTAACCTTGTACATTAGCTAAATATTCCTAGAATTAAGAAAGGAGGAAGTCAGGAACTCAAATGCTATTTAAAGAGCAAAATATCAGAAAACTGTAAGCACTAGAATTGTTTTGGGAATTGTTATTGTGCTGTGAGGGAAACCAATCGTGCCTGTGGTAAAGACACAAACATGTCAAAGTCAAAATAAGACCAGAAGTGTCCATGCTTTCGCTTGTGCACAGTAACCATAGAATAGCTGTAGATCCTTTATTAACCAAGTTTGTTCGATCAAAATGGATGGATAATGCAGATAATGGCCTCGTTTTTTTGCGTGTTTATGGTCGTGACCCATAAACACGCAAAAAAAGAACTTGGCCAATATCCAGCTATCTTGACCTCACGCTTGGTCAACAACCCATATACGTATTTTGTTTTGAAACTCAACGGTCCAAAGAAGTTCTGCCGGATGTTTCCCTTGGATCGTATCCGCGTAATAATTTCCCGCCATTTGCAGCCTGTGTAGCTGGTGGAATCTGTTTTTCTGTCAGCTCCATTCATGACGTCATGTCTCTACAACTGGCTAGTTTCTGTATTTTAGAGAGGCCGCGAAAGACAGTTGTATTTTAAACATTAAAATTTTAAAGTGAACGTAGAAAGAAAAAAGTATCGAAAAGTGTCCTCTTGTGAGAAGTCAGCGTAACATGTTGGGCATAGCCCTTCATCAGTACATTTTTGGGAAGATAGCGTCTGCTACAGTTACTAGTAGCAAAATTAAGCTTATACTCAGTAAAACCTAGCCTGTGAACACAGACGGATTTCCGGCTTAAAGCTGGCTTAATTTGAGCTATCAGAAGGATCCATAAATCGAGATTCCACTGTACCAGAATGCAGTGCATGGACCTGAATTTTGATCCAAAAAATTCTCTTTTCCTTCATACAGTTGTATATAGACCTAATAAACGCGTTTAAAACGTCACCTGTTGTCTTGTTTCTCCTAGGAGGTTTCCGAAAGTCGTTGTGAGTGAGTTTCTTTTCAATGGTCGAACTGTAGCGTATTGTACAAACGCTTCAGCAGAAGTTTTGACGCAGGGTTAGCTAGGGTTCTCAGAGGGCCCATTAGGAGGTGAGGGGNGTGACGTTTGAGTATCCTACAAGCCGTTAACTTTTGACCCATATATCGCGTACCTGGTTAATTCTAGTTGCAAAAATTAATGATTTTCCTGCTCAATATCCTGTTTTATCTGATCTTGATATCCCATATTCCATTAATTCCCTCCCCCCCTCCGCCCACCAAGTATCGTACACCTTTAATTTATTTTTACCCAAATATCCCTTACCCCGAATACTCCTAATAGGGCCTCTTCTTATGGTGCTGGAATGACCATAGTATTGGGAAAAATAGTTTTCAGCGATTTCTCAGCTACCAGTAAACGTTTCATTCCATTTCTGAGTTATCGGTCAATTTTGCAGATCTTGGATCTCGGCTATCAGTTAAAAAACGCGTCATTTCCAGAATAACAGTTTAAAGTTTTAACCAATTCGTAGCCATCAGTTAACCCATCCAGACCCTCGTCTTAGCGTAGCTTAATAAGTGTGTATAAACTCTTGGTATTTGGCCATCGTAGCTTGATTAAAAATATAACACAAACAGCGGTGATAAACATTTTAAAAACATGCATTTTATGAACTTGACGTTTCGTATGCTAGTCAACATTTTAAATAACTTTTCAAAAAATAATTTAACGGTTATACTTTTAAAATGTATGTTGACTAGCATACGAAACGTCAAGTTCATGAAAATGCATGTTTTTAAAATGTACACCGCTGTTTGTGTTATATTTTTGATAAAGTGTGTATGTGTATAAGGGTTCAGATATGTTGCGTTTACGCAGTATTGTGAGGGTTACTTGATACCCTTCAAACACATACACTTCAAACAGCTTCCTTAAACTGATTCTTAGTTTATTTGTTTAAATGGCTTTCTAGGGTCGCATACGGACAGGACATATCATCGAAGGTTGTTGCGGAAGACTGTAATGCCCAACAAGAAAAGCCACTAGTTCATAGACTCTTTCTTGAAGGCTACCAAGGAGCCAAACTTTTTTCTTAGTCCTTCGTGTGTCGCGCGGTTTCTCGCGCGTGTTCTTTCGTGTGGCCCTCGAAGGAGCTGCTCGCACTAGCTCGTAGTCAATGTTCTTGCCGGTTGCATTTGGTTGGCGCGTAACTGCCGGCCCCGAACATGGGTTAACGGACAACCTTACTCGAACTTCCTTTTAGAGATTATTTAACGGATTCTTCTGGCAAGAAAAGAAAAAAAAACAATCCCCTACAGTGAAATCTGCATTAAGCGGACACCCTTGGGACCCTCACTACTGTCCGCTTTATACAGGGTGTCCGCTCTAAGCAGGTTGTAACATATTGTGCAATAATAGTTAACTGTTAACCCTTTTGCAACTCAGTGTAACACAGTGTAAGATCGAAGACTGCTCATAGCACAATGTCTGCATCAATCTGGAATAATCTACAAAGCTTTGAAACGATATCGCTGAACAGTGTTAAAGGAGTCTGAGCTGAGCTTTTAAAAGAAAGCCCTTGAAGTGTTCGCTTATTGTGCAACAAAATGGCTTAATATTGGTGTCGTCGTCCGCCTGACAGAGGTGTCCGCTGAATGCAGGTTTATTTTACAGTTAATGTGGGAAGAAAATTTTGGGACTCAAGCTGGTGTCCACATAATAGAGAGTGTCCGCTTAAAATGGGGTCCGCTTAATACAGATTTAACTGTATGTTACTGCTATTGTACTCATTTCTGAAAAAGATTGATGTTTGATAAAGATTATTTCTTTGACAGCAGACTGAGGCTTAGAGTGTCTAATCAGTTAACTGGCTGCCAACAGACGTGTTTTGATCTGTTCTAGAAAAATCGGGGGTGGGGGAGTGGGGGAGGAAAGTCGTTCAGCAAAGTACCTGGATCATGTGTAGAGTGCTGTTTTCCTTTAAGTAACTTGCAGTTGAGCCAAAAATCACAAACAATAGCCTCCATTTTTCGCGATACTTCCCAGTTCAGCTGGGAAATAGACCAATCTCAAGCGAAAATATTTGCTAGATTATAAGGTCAGTGTTTTCGCAGTGATGTCTCGACAGCGGGGCCGGTGTTGTTTTGCTCAAAAATACTAAAATAACTGAAAAATAATATTTCAAAGCGTCGACTTGTTTGTTTTGCGATCGTTTCGGACCGGATTTTGCAAGTTGCTTATGAATTCAATTCATTTCAATTTATTCAAACTTTAGTCACCTCATTGTTTTTCAGTTCCCTGGTGTAGTAAGGTAGTCTTTTCAAAAAAACAACAAATTAACCTTGGAAGAAAACACCAACAGTAACAGCAAAAAAACCACTCCACATAGCGAGCTGAGAGGAACGGGTTGAAAAGGCGGGAAAGACAGTTTGAATAAATTTTAAGACGGGATAAAAGAGAAAATCCTTTGATAGACAAGGTTTTGTTCAGGAAAAAATAATAGACACTCCTTTAACGCAATATGACGCGCGACCAATGGAACTGACGTCTAGCCTGGTACTTACGCATGCGCAGTAGTAAGCGTCAGGCCAGCCTCGTGTTTGTCTTCATACAAGCGTCTCTTCCCTTGTGCTCTTATACTGAGAGAAGCAGAGAGCTTGTGAAAAAGACCTTGGCGGATCGAGCTTTCCTTCGGCGCAAAGTCGACAAGAGCAAGAAAACAAGTCATTCCACATCTGAAAAGCGCAAATCCGGCGAGATGGAAGGTAATTCTGAGATTTCGATGCATTACGGCAGTTTTATTTTTAAATCTCAGTCAAACTCTTTATATGAGCGCCTCCATGAATTGTTCTCCCTTGTTGTCTTATATTTCCTACTAGCCTCATACGAGGCCTTATAAAGCCTATAGGACATATGGAAGTGTGCACCACCGAAGTCAGCTCCGAAATTTCTTCGGTTCAATCGACAATTTAAGCTCTGATATCCTCTAGTTTTGTAATATAGACATCTCTACCTCGACTAAACGGCAAAAAATGTCCGCTGCGAGTAATTTCGAAGCGCTTCGCTCGAAGTTTCTTTATTTCAATTCGCGCTAAGAGAATATATAGGGAAGTATAAATTATGCCTCGGGGACCTACTGATCTCTAACACTAACCTAAAGTTTCGATTTTTGCGTCCAAAATATCGCGGCAAAGGGCTTTAATTTTCGCACAAACGATCCTTAAGCTGTCGTTTTGACCTCCAAGTTGCGAAGAGATGATGTTGTTCTTCTTTACTCGAAGCAGCGAAGTCTAAGAAACGATCCGCGGACACAGCGCTTCACAAGTCCAGGTCTCCCAAGAAATCCAAGACTGGCAAAGAAGGCAAAAGAGGGAAAAAAACATCGAAAGGCGACGGACCACACGTAAAAAGAGCTTCCTCGGCCTACATTCACTTCACGACTGATTTCCGAAAGAAACTCAAAGAGAAATGCGAGAAGAAAGGCGATCCACTACCCAAAGCAAACGAAGTCGCGAAGATGGCGGGTGAAGCGTGGAAGAGTCTCTCGGACGAAGACAAAACGCCATACAACATCAAAGCCCAGGAAGACAAAGATCGCTATATGAGAGAGGTAAGCAAGAATTCTGCGCCAAACCAAGCTGAAATGCGGAGTTAAATTACTCATTTTTGAGCAGTTCATCATGGCTGCCACTCTCAACCGTTCCGTGTCAGGAGCCAATGTGATGTCACGTGATATTTTTCTCCTGGGGAAGGAAAATTTTGTTTCGAGAGTATTTAAATTATTTCAACCACTGTGATTTTAAAGTCCAAATAAATTTTTATTCAAGTTTATGGGGAAAAATATTTTTGAACTTTCATTTTTCAAAAGAATGCATATTTTTCAAAATCTCTTATATATGCGATTAAAACTAAACTTTATGAAAAAGTACACTGTTTTAAAATTTGATGACTGCGTTGTGTATTTCTCCTCTTAATCTTTCTAAAAAAAAGGGATTTTTGCATTACATGTGAGCTTTGCATGTTGAAAGCAAAAAAAAGGAAATCTTTTTCATGTGCTGTTTTAGTGCTAAAGGACAAACTTGAAAGATGTCTTAAATTAATATAGTTTTTTCAAAAGCTACAGAGAAAACTCTGGGAGGAAGAATAAATTCTTGTTTGAAATTTCACAGTTAAATTCGGGAGATTTTTATGAGGCAATTTTAAAATCTCTGCTCAAGTCAGTTAAAACTATTTAAGTTTATAGACTTTAATTAATATTAAGCTGGCCCATTGATATCAAAAGGAGCTGTGATAAAAATTAACATGAAGAACTTAGAACACATGTACATTGAATGTAATTACAGACAAAAGCACCATTTACGCTGTATTGAAAAAGGATTACTTTTTGCAATCAAACAATGAATTTCAGGAAACAATAGACAAAAAAGCTAAAAACAGTTAATTGATGATTTGAGTTTTGGAGTTAGTTACCATTTCAGATATGTCTAACTCACTGAAAGTTAACTGGAAATTAGCATGGTCACTAGAAAATGTTTTTTACACTCAGGTACTGTACAGTGTACTTCTAGTAGCAATAATTTTCTTCTTTTTCAAATAAATGGTGAACGTTGTAACCAAGGCCTTATACTTTTCCCAGGTTATATAAGACTAACTGATTTACTTCTCTTCACACAGAGTGGAAAACTGGCTAAAGTTGAATCTGATAAGCCAAAGCGTGCTCCTACAGCTTATTTCATATTCCTTGCTGAATTCCGAAAGGAAATGCAAGGTAAAAAAACAGATAGTGATCAGAAAATCCCAGCCCTTGCCGGAGAAAAATGGCGAACCATGACCGACAAAGACAAAGAGAAATACAAGCAGTTGGAAGCGGTCGCTAAGAAGAAGCATGAAGCCGCTATGGAAGAGTGGAGAAAGAAGGTTAGTACAAAGGTGCACTGTGGAAGCAAGCTATTTAAATAACAGGTCTCCCTCTCCAATTGTTAACATTGTTAATTATTTATATGATAGTTTCATCCAGTTGGGAATCTTAAGTGTTGCATTAACAGACTCAACACTATCTCTAGCACTAGTTAAGATTGTCCGATAGTTGAAAATATACACGTACACTAGCATGGCTGAACATGAATGTTTTAGCTTTACCCTCAGACCAGCTCAATCATGGATTTACCAACCTGAAACTTTTCTAACTAGCCCAACAACAGTGATACACAGCTGTATGCTGTAGCTATGAATATACTAAACTGGCTCAAAAACAAGTCCAGCCATCTTTTCTGGGCTGGTCACCTTCAAAGTTACCCAAAGTCTTTATTTTCTAGTGAAATTTCAGCCAGTGATCAGTGAGCTATCTTTAAACTGGTGATATTTGCTGGTAGCCAGGTCTTAGTTATATCCCTGCAAAAATTACAGTCTAAATTAATCAAGTGATTATTTAAACTAGTCTTTGTTTTTGCCCTTTGGGAAAGCAAAAAACAAAATCCACTGGTTTGGTGTGAAGATCCCTTAGATAGCCCTGCTCTCCCGGATAATTAATGCAGGCTGGAGCCAAGCAACATTTGTTTACATCAGCTGAAACTAAAATTCACTTGGGCTCTATGCAGAGATGATTTCAGCCTATAACTCTTCAGGGGACCAAAGATTCCATTCACACTACTGATGCTATGTTGTTGCTTGTGTTTTTCCCTTTAGACTAACAATGTTTCCTGTAACTGAGAATAATATTACCTGACCTCAGAATGCTAACGAAATGGATACTATAAATTTCCCCTGTATTTTTCCATCACACTGTACATAGACTTTAATTTGTTTGGAGCATTTCAAAGAATTAGTAATTACGCATTTTTGTTTGTGTGTTTTATATAGCACTGTCTTAAGTAAAGTAATTTTCCCAATGAATTTGATGCTCTGTAAAATATTCCCTTTAAAAACGACCTGAAAGTACAGGCTGTAACAGATTGTTTACTGCAGTAAGGTTAAAAAATGCCAAATGGGGTTATAGTAAACTAAGAGGGCAACAAGGAGAGTAACACCTAGAGACTGTGCCTCCAATGTAACCTTTTTAAAATAATTATCTTTGTGTAAGTGTGTTTGTAAATTGCAACTGTATCTGTACATGTAAGTCTAAGATTTAGAAATCATCTTTATTATATGGCTGTGTCTCACAAGGACTGGGAACTACCGAATTGACAAATTTGATTAGCTGAAATTGATATTGCGAGCGGTCTAGACTTTGCCGTCTAGTTCGGTAATGTTTTGGGGTGAAAAAGTTGCAAACTAAAATGCAAAAATATTGACTACCGGTATTTTCTTGTGTCGATATTTATTTATGGAAGTGCCAAAAAGCCTGATGAGAAAAAAAGTAAAGAGGACAAGCAAACTTTAGCAGAATTAAGTTCATCTCATCATTGTTCGCAAGCAAAATGTCAGCTAGTACAAACCAGTCACATTAAACAAATTAAATTGTTCTTGTTTGCCATATAATGACCATCTTATTAAGCGAGCTTAGTCGGTCTGTATGGGAGAATCTTGACCTCTGCCGTGTGTACAGACCTCACTGCATTCGGTCTGTACTCACAACCTCGGTCAAGATTCTCCCATACAGATCTCCTGCTCGGTAAATAAGTCCTAAGTAAGAAATAAATAACTGAAATTGGTTAATTTTTTTTAACACAAGTGATCGCATTTTCCCACTTCCTGTTTACAGATTGTTATCTTATTATCTTAGTGATTTTCTTCGTTGTTGGTGAAGTTAACATGTTACAATATGCCTTGCCTTCTTACTGTAGAATGCTGGAAAAGAACAGGCTCAGCCAAAGGCAAAACCAGAGAAAAAGAAGCCACCACCCAAAAAGGAGCCCAAGCCATCAGAATCGGAAGAAGAGGATGACGATGATGAAGATGACGATGATGACGAAGAAGAGGAAGAGGAAGTTGAGGATGATGATGATGGTATGTTAATGTTAGTGCTTGCTGGTAAATTTAACTCCGGTCAAGTTTCAGAGTACGGTAGAGACCTCAATTTTTTTAATCTCTCGATAACTGGAACCAAACGTCATTTCCCTTCCCTCAGTTGAACACCTGATTTTCCAAACATGTTTTTGTTTCCCTTGGACGTTAAAAAAATCAGGGTTTCCACAGTAGTTGTAATTAAGGGTGTCACCAAAAGTCCACTTTAAACAGCAGCTTGAGCTTCATTCTTTTAATTACAGATTACGTAGATGTTCTCCTTTTGAATTAAACAAATCTGAAGAGAAACCACTTAAACAACATGTTGGTCTTGATTCTGGTTTTGTTTCTTTTTAGAATCGCTGAAGTGTTTAGTGTGGAATATATTACTTGCAAAAACCTGGTGTACATGTCAAAGACAACTGCTCCATTCCAAAAACTTCAATCAAATTTGACATACTATGTATATCAATCACTCATATTGTTGTGTTGAATTTTTAGCACATATCTTGCATCTTTATAGACCGTAATATTTTCTTCCTTGAGTTACGAAGGAAAAGAATTAGAACAGAGAACATGAGGGTATTAACTTGATATATACAGTTGTATACAGTTACACCAGTGTTATTTGAATTCCATGATATCTTACATGTATCTTACTTTGTAAACTGGGTTATTTTTAGGCGGAGACGATGACGAAGACGACGATGATGATGATGATGATGACGATGATGAGTGAAAAACCTCGCATTCCACTTGCATTCTTAAAAAAGAGAGCCATTCCCATTGAATTTCACTTAACTGCTCATTCACATTACCTTTTTTCAGTTTTGTTTTCCTGATTTCAAATTCTGACAAAATGTGTTCATCACTATATCATTAATGTATTGAAGATATTTGTAATGTCACCACATTTCACTTACGCTTCCTCTGCATACCTGCAGCTTGTGTTCTGAATATCTTTTCCTTTATTTTGCCTTTTTGCAGTCATAGCAGTGACTAGTCCATTTAAGTCATTATTTTATAGTTTGGAGGTAGGGAAAGTACAGAGTTCCTACTATCTTTCTGAAGGCTCTGCAAAATTAGTTTGCGTGGATCCCATTTGTTCATTAACAGCTTAGGGAGTTTAACTTTTGTAGACACGAGTGTGAACGTGTTGCAGTTGTGTTGGTCTTAAAGGCCTGTTTATTTTACCCTTAGACAGACATGCTTTTGTTAAATAGTATTAAATAACATCCCTCTTGGTAGCTATTTATTCTGATTTAGTCAGGTCTGTATAATCAAAAAACATTTTTTTGTGTGTTTACCAGTAGCAGTGCCAACAGAACATTTTCAAAGCTAGTATCTTTTGATGGTCTATTCAGACAGGTTTGGGCATGTGTTGAACTTCCTTGTAATCAGGGGGCGACATGTATTTTTTGTTGCATAACATAATTGTCTATCTTTATTCAAAGTTCTTTGACAGACAGTGAATTTTCAGGGTTTTTTTTGGTGAATAGTGAGTCTTTATCACTTGTTCCAGATCAAAATGTAAACTTCTAATGTGGTTAATTACTTGGAAGCATCTCATATAATGCTGGATGTCCAGGCCTTTTGGCTAAGATCAAGTGTAGTAATTTCACCAAAATTGTACTTTACTGAGAGATTGTGAGTATGTCTTAGAGAAAAGCTCATGAAAAGTGACCATCGTTATCTCATGTGACCATGAGTTTACAGGTGACATGAGCCCCTTTTTTCTCCCTACTTGCCTTCTGTTGGCACACTTTGTAAACAAGGACCGAGTTTTTTTAGTTTGTATATGTATATGTTTTAAATAAAGCTGTTGTTTTCCAGCGGTTGTTCCCATATTTATTTTGCTTGTAATTAGGCATTCCATTAAAGTCATCATGAATAGGCCAGTTTCCTATTCTCAGTATTGGGCTGGAACTAGCTTGCAACTGAGGCTAATGCCAGGAGTCTTTTCAAATGCAAATGACATTCATCTCTTTTTAATGATATTCCTCTGCATTGAGCCTCCATAGCAAACTAGTTCCAGTCTAATGCTGAGAATACGAAAATGGCCTAGTTTGCAGTCACTGTGGTAAAAAACCTTAGCTGAAACTGTCAGTAATTGACTGTCTTGAATAATTTATTGTCCCCTATCCTTAGGGATCGGCATAAGCAAGTTTGTTTATTTCGCCAATAGTGCCAAGACAGGATTATGGATTGCCTGCCAGCCAAGTGACAGCATATACACTGGCCCATAAATGCATTATCTGATTTGTATTTCTTCTGTAAAATTGGGGTGGGGGTAGGGAGAAGGCAGTTGAGTCCCTTGAGTAGCACTAAAACATTTGTGAACAAGGCTAATTAAGGGTGCCATGGTCTAATTTGCTCCATAACAAGCACGCTGAAGCTCACAAAAGTGCTTATCTGCAACTGAGCAGCCTAGCCATTATTGACAGAAAATTTAACACAAATCAAGCCAAACATTGCAACATGCTAACTATATACCAACTTTGTTGAGACTTGACTTTCATGGCATTTTATCCAAAATAAATTACGTTGAGTATTTATTGAAAAATGTAATTAACTTTAGATTCTTGAACAGACAAAGCTATATTTAATGCTGCCCAGGCATTTTTCTACATGTTTACCTAAACACTAGTATTCCAATACTTCTTGTTCTGGAAACGTGTCACGGTACTGTAACCTGCTTTCTGAATGTCAACATTGTCTCTTCAAAAATGGTTTTTCCCTTTTATAATGCAACCATACCATCACCAGAAGAATAGATATTTGAAATTTTTATGTACAAGTTTCTTCCTGTAATTTTGGTAAACCGAATCATTTCAAGCACTTTTTAAAAATAAATGTTACAAAACGGTTGTAGTGAATACGTTAAAAAACCCGCTATTCTCTAACAAGAACGATTCTCTCATCAAAACAAAAACCCGGCTATGCTCAAAAGAAAACAAAAGAACTTAATTAATGAACACCTCTTTGTCTTTTTGCACTCAGTAGTTTAAATCTCACAGCTAAAATTAGACTGTTTTCAGCTCTTTCTTCAAACAAAACAGAGCCTACAGGGTAATATGATATCGGCTCCTCGTTTGCTTCTGTTACGAACCATTAGACCTCACAATGAACTTGCGTGCTTTATCCCAACTCAATAAAAATAACTTTAAAGTTAGTTATAATCTGAGGTTATTGAGTACCTGAAAAGCCAGTTGAATGCGGTGCATGGATTTATTGGATTCGAACCCGAAACCAATAAATAGCCCGCACGCGATATCAGGACGTGACATCTTCCTCGAGTGTCACATGATTTGTGATGGACGCTGACAGCGAATTATCCGAAAATAGAAACAATGGACAAAGTAATAACAGATGAGTAAGGGGCTTCCACAGAGACTCGAAGGAAATCTCGAATTCTTCGTGGATATCAAAAGTTTTTTTAGCAAAGGGAGTTTAGCGGGCCTTGAAATACAATAAAAGTTATTCGAAAGATTTCGACATAGATGAATTTATCGTGAGTGCGGAAAGCCATCAAGCGCATCACTGCACTTTCGGTTTCTCAGGATTTTTATAAGCAAGGTATTTTCGAAGGACGAACACTGAGAAATCGGACATTTTTAACCTTCTGCCGCCTGTATAGCGATCGCAGACTTCAAGAATTTTAAGTGTTGGGAATATTCGGAAGGCTTGTATCCAATCTGATCGTTTTCTGAACAAAACAATGTCCTATTTACATCGTTTTGTCAAACACATGGTGAAATCAGGTGACTTACTTGCATCTTGATGCTGAATAATTCAACAGAGACATTTCTAAACAAACACCCATAAATCCTCAGTTCCTTGCTTTTGACTTCCCATAGCCTTACGAACAGGAAAACATATACATAAATATCGCTAAGATATCCTATATTGCTGTTTTTTTGAAACGCGCAAATATATCCTCAGATAGAAAACAAAAGGTTAATAAAGCTGTTTCAATGTTTTAGACTCCAATTTTATTCTTGCTGTGAACAGCAAACTGTACAGACTTTACAAAATTCTATACAGTTAAAAATACAGGTCATAGCTCTTATCTTACAAAAGTTCCCAGCAAAAGAAAATTATTAAAGCCGAGCTCTGTGCCTCTGTCTTTATACACCAACACAACGCGAGTGAATATTCGATAGAACGAGAAATTTACATATCTTTGAATACCAGAAATTTATATATGCACACAATAATTTTGCTCTAGAGTTTCTTTTTTTTTACCCTAACACGGAATACACGACGAAACTGGAAAGCTGACCACATCTTTAGTGCAATTTAGGAGATTCATGCTACTTCTCTTTCTTCTTTCTTGATTCATGGAATTCAGTGCTTCTTTCGACGGCTTGTTTGTGTTTTCTTGCGAAACCATTGACTCGTCTAGGTCGCAAATGGATCCATTTTCACCAATTCGAAACGCCACCGATTTCGGGTCGATCCATAGCGTCAGCTCTTCAGGAAGCGATAGATCTTTGTTTAGAAGACCGCTCGCTTGGGCTGCTTCAGCGATGACAGGATCCAACGAATGGTTGATTCTAATACAGCGAAAACCACTTCCTAACAAAGGATTCTGAGGGTGCCAGTGATGTTTGTATCGCGCACATAAAATCTCCTTCATCTTCTTATGAAAAATCTCTAGCTGCTTGTCCGATAGCCTTCCATTACCTCTTAACATCTTGGTAACAAATCTACAAGCCATTTCCACTTCAGCCTTCATGTTTTACGACTATCTTGAGAAACTGACTATTTATCGTTGAGCGCCCAGAGTTTATAGTTTCGTTTTCGTTCGTTTGGTATTGTTCCAAATCGCAGTGTTTCTCTCAATAAAGTTACTTTCTCAGGAGTCCCAACCCAAAGTCTTACTAGCAAATTACCATCTACCACCAGCCACAAAAGCTCCTTCTTCAATCTCGTTCTTCTCCAAGCTTTCTTCCAGCTATTTATCGCATGAAAACTTTTGCGGAAATAATAACCTTGCGTCTGGTAAAAAACCCACACCGTGACGTCATATCAGCGACCAATCACCAGCGAGAATATTACAAAAGGCTCGAGTCAGGTTGCTAAGCGAAAGGTCGAAATGTGAATCGCCTTTTGTTGTAGGAAACAGCTTGTCTGTTTCCCGTCAAGAGCGCAAGCTGAAGCGCGCAAAAAAAAAAGTGGGCATTCTTCACATCTAGCTTTGTTTCGTAGCAATTATGTTCAGTTTTTGTTATTTGCGTTGTGGATTGACTTAAATCGTCTTATATTGGGGAGGTAAATTGGGGTTTTGTGTTCGGACGTGATCGAGCTTGTTATGAAAAAATCGATTCTAATTCATGCGTGACGTAGCAAATAAAAACAGATGAAGATTTAGATAATTTAAAACGGAACGCCATATTCGTTCATTGTTTAATTGTTCCCTCTTTCTCTTACTTGGTCGCTCTACACAATTAGCAATTCTTTTTTGTCCTTTAAATAATGCTGAAGCAGTAAAGTCAATCCACATATGCGTGTAAAAAAAAAAAAAACCCTCGACTCTCATCATCGCTTTTGAAAATGAAAGTGAAAGGAAACACCGCATTTGTTGAATTATTTATGTCATATCCGTTTGACATGCTTATATACACTCTTCACTCATGAAACGACCCACGATTCCTAATTTCCTTTGTGTGTGTGTGTGTGGACTTCCTTCTTCAAGGATTTTTACATAAAAAGCTTTACAAATGGCCTGGCGCCAACCAACAACTGAACAAAGCACATCAGGATTTGAGGCTTTGTTTCGCCACACAAAAACGTTCGAAAAAAACATCGACAAACTATCGGAAAGGCAAAGAGGAAAACAAAATATGCTGGTATTGTACTTAAAGGGCTTAATGCTGTCACTGGCACTTTCGAACCATTGATCACGCATGACTGAACCCGATTAAAAATATTGCGAAAAGAAAGCCATTATCGCTCCTGCGACAACTCAAATACTATTAGCAAGCAATTGGGCCATGGTGGAGTGTAGAATATATTAAACAACATATATTGCTATCCGATCGTTCATCCAAATAACTTTTCCTTTGTACGTCCGATGATAAGAGTACAGACACTTGTAAATTAGTCGTAACCTCTAACCCTGCTTCAGTCAAAAGGTTTCTTGTTTCGTGATATAATCGCTAATAGTGATTTTTATGTGTCAAACGTTGTTGCAAATAATCTTTAAAAGATACACTTTCTAACGAAAAGGAAGGCGTGATTTACGTTAGAGACTTCTACTGCACGTACAAAGTATGCCACTTGCGGCACTCCGCTGGAAAGATCATTCATGTCTCGAATAACAGCGGGGTACAAGTTATTGGCCATTGGCCCCCGGTGTTCCATTTTATAACAACTCAAATGGATGATCATAAACAAACCAGATTGCAAGGTTAAATTACCCGAGATGCCAGTTTTCTAAAGAAACATTTTTGAAAGCGTAATTCAAACAGAGATATAAACAAAGTTCAACAGATTTTATTGCTGTCTCCTTTGTTCTAAAAAAAACACAAAATAATCGTCTCACACCTTATTCAAACGAAAGCACGTTTCTAGTGAGAATTTGCCCAAGCGCAACAGATGGCATAAAGAATGGCATTTCTGCTGGCCCTTGATCATTGTCATGGATTTACGAGGATTTAGTAATAATTGATAATTTCGGTTTATTTGCGCGAATACTAGGCTAGATTGTGCCAGAGGCTGCTAATCGAGCCTAGCCGAACACTTAAGGAGTCCTAGAGCCTTTTTCATTGGCCTCAAGCTTTAAAATGGGAAAAAAGGAAAAATATATATCATTTTAATACCGAGCAGCGAGAAATGTAAAAGTATAATAATAAATTGTACAACAGTCTTTTTATCATTTAATGGCCAATTTTATGCAACAGTCTGTTCTCTTTAAATAACATTACAGTCAGCTGTCTCTATCGTCCCTTGTCGAACAAAACATTGTTGCAAAGGGTTTTTTTTTTCACTTTTTATTTTAACCCAATTAAATCAGATGGTCGACAAGCAACTCGGATCCAATAATTTTAAATGAAGACAAATTACGGGTACGGATGTAAGCCAACTCAAAAGAAAACCATTTGAATGAACATAAATACATTAAACTGAACTTTCTAACGGCTTCTCTGAAATCCACTTCCATATAGTCCTCTTTTATCCGGTTTACTGTATAGCGGTTCAGTATGTATTCGCCAATTTGTATGATTCAACTGTATGCTTACATGGTTTAGTTTAATAGAGCGGAGAACATTATGTAGAGCGTGTAATTTATAGTGGTATCTTTAAATTATTAATACTATCGTATATTCTGCGAAGTCACAGTTTCTCGGACAAAACATCAAAACCTTGACTTATCTGAGTCAGAAGGTGTTAGCCGAGTTAGCGGTTTGAAATCTGGGACTGACTGCGGTGCCCTGAGAATTAGTCCGTGCCACTACTAAATCTGTTTTGCAGCAATCTTGTTTCTTAACCAAAATATTCCACGTTCTATATCGTGTCATTTTCCGTGTAGCAGGTTCGTCTCCTCTCGGCCGAGCGAAAAACAACTCTGTGTAAGAGGGTGAGATTGTCACCAAGGCTATCATCATTTACTAGCTCACAAGAGTTTTTTCGGCTATTTTCAGTTACGCTTGTTTTCCGTTTTGTTGTTTTTATTTTCTAGTGTTATTATTCTAGGCCTTATACCAGGTGTTCTAACTTAATTTTAGTGAACTTGTAACCAAATTTCGTTTGTCCAACTCCTCCGCTTGTTTATTTATGGCCAAGAAACGACGTAAAATGTTATGGATCATTTTACCGCAAGAAAACTGTCGCAGTATAATCAACACTCCTTTTGTTTCTTTATTGAAAGAAGTATGTAATTTCAATTTAGTGCCCCTTATATTGGCAGAAAGACAAATTTAGTCTGCACGGTATATTGCAAGCCAGTGCAATACAACTACCGACATACACCTTGTTGCTATTGTGTTATTTTCGTAATGTACACACACACGCACATGGATTCTCGGTGAAAACTGAGCCTTTGACCTGACACTGTTAATGTTGTTGTTGTGTTTGGTTGAACTCGCTGCGATTTCTATGGTCACATTTTTTTTAAACGCATACTGATGCGTCGCAATGCTAAAAGCCATAAGTGTCAGTTATCTGGTTTTATTTCACACCTTGTTCTACAAAAGGGTCCCGAGGCCATTACAAGTACCCCACGTTCAGTTCTGATACCAAGCACCGAAAACTCTGGTCAACGGCTTGAAATAAATGCGCAGAGGTGCTGGAAGAAAGACAAAAATAAAACCCTTTCAAAACAGTTGTGTATTTTCTTGCTATTTAAAAACGACTTCTTTTAGAAATAACTTGAACTCCTAGAAATTAAATAAAGGTATGTGAATATATAGTTCAGAGAGTTTGAACGAGGGTAACCGTAATGTAATTACTCTCGCACTACTTCTCTCCGTTCAGGAGAGCAAAGGGATACCTACGTATTGCTGGGGCAACATGACAGAATAGAGTAAGCTGTGATGGACTAATATCCCATCCAGATGGGAGTGGCAATGCTCGCCTCGTTGCTTAATTAATGCTTTAGAAACTCCAGCCGTTACTGTAAGCGCTGCGTATGCTAAATGGCTTTCTTGTTTTGGTTTTAATCAAGTCCTACATTTAAATCCTACCTTTATAAGTGTACTCATCGTAGATAAATTATTGATTTATTAAGAAAAGCTAATTTTCGGTAAGGATAGAAAAATGCCTGTGAGTGAAAAGTGGAACGCTCTGCATCTATTTTAGTCTTTCGCTGACCACACTGTTTTGAAATCTGGTTCTGAGCCAGAATATTCTGTGTTCAATGTTGTTCTATTTCCTGTCGCGTCGTTTCTCAGCGTGGTTTTGTTTCGACTTCGCTTGAGGGTGTGTGTTTGCAGCAGAACTGTAAACCAGTCGAATTATGACAACCGCCGGCACAACTAGATGTGTACTTTTCCGGCTGTATTAATATTTTAATTTGAATTCAAAGAATTCTTTCCTCCGCGGAAACAGTCCAAACAGTGACATTTTCCCCGGTTTATCGATATTGCAAAACTAACCATACCTGTTTTGGAAAGATAAAGATATTAAACATTGTATTATTGAGTGAATTTATTTTTGCAGAAGCGCAACATTTCAAGTTCACACAGTGACTTACTTTGTCGACGCTAGATTCCGTAACAAATCGATGCTTCTCAAGTTTGAGTAAGAATTAATTTTACAGTTATATATATCGCAGCCAGAAGTACTCTAGGGTGTACTAAAAACTTTGTTTCAGCCATTGTATGGCATGGATACAAAATGATTTTAGTTCGCTGCTTCCATTCGTCATCAGTGATATGATTGAGTTATATTGCATGCTAGACAGAAAGTCGGCAATGTGTTTATTTTTGCAACATTCATTCACGTACCAACTCAAAAACAAAATCGTATACTGGAACACAGAAAAATCCACGCCCGTTGTGCTTTTCTAATTGTAATTAATCGTAATTCAGTCAAAACTATGCGACTTAACGGTAACACCGGATATCCGCATTATCTGGGAATTGGACAAAGGATATTAAAACGAGTTCAGGTATGAAAATAAGCTGAAAACAGCAGAAAAATGTAACGTAAACTTTTAAAGGGTCAAAAAATGACTGGTCAACACTCCTTCTCAATTATCTAGAGCAGTTTTCCAGACGCGATCACTGGACAAACTGGGTCGAGATCCGAGATGTAAGGAGTGGAAAAGGAATGCAATGAAATGCTATAATATGACCTAGAAATGTCACTGACTAGGAGGGTTATGAATAAAAAACAAAGACAAAAAGCGCTGTACTACTTGCTCTTTGCTCAGTCACTGGGATGATTCGGCTCAGATTATACGAACAGCATTCACGGTCCTGTACGTTTCCTTCGTCGTATTCCTAGTTCCCACCATACAAGCTTTCCTGTGCAAACCCCTATATTTCGGTTTCTTGAAATAATCCTTCCCAGTTGCGGCACAGTAGAGCTCCATAAGGCCATAACCAGCCAGCGAGTGGGCGTTTCTATCCGCAAGGTGGGGGGANATTTAGCCTCTTGCACAAGGGCTCGATTTTTGCAAATTGTAACTATTTTATTCATTTATCGACATAATTGCTTTTTTTTCATTTGGTTATTATCATTTATTTATTTATTTATTTTCATTTCTGCATCACCAAAAGGGGGGGGGGGGGGGGGGGGGGGGGGCTATTTAGGGGTCGCTTTTTCCACCCGCCAGAGAAAAGGCTATATGATCGCAGGCTGTGTCAACTACCTCATCAGTGGGTTTAATGTGGCTAGTTCATTTATGGAACCCAATTTACTGTTTAGAACTGTGCCTAGGAGTTTATACACAACGGAATCAAGTAATTTGAGGTTTTGAACCAATTTCGCAAAGTGGAATGTGGAGATAAAGAGCTCCCGCGGTTTTTGTCATTCAATTACAGTGGAACCCCGTTAATCTAGCCACAAACGGGCCACAAAAATCTAGTTGTATTAAAGAGGTTCTTTAAATAAGAAAATGACTGACTGAGCATTTTTCGGGCCAGAATAAATTGGCCGTAATAACAAGGCCGTATTAACAGGGCGACCGTAAGGTGGGGTACCACTGTACATCTTTCGGGTGTTTCCTCCGGGACTTATGTATTATTTCGATCAGTCAATATGTCCACCGCTGTGTTTCAAAATGGTCGCGTCCAAAGTTTGATCAGGCATCACGCACGGACCAGTGGATTCGTTAGAGCAAGTGTCTCAGTAAGAGGTGAACTCCTCAGTGAGATCTGCGGGAGACTGAGAACCTGTGATCAACCCACACCTAGTCTGAGTACCACCTCTGGTGAATAATAAGAATATCACCCGGGAATATCAGACCGCTCAAAGTTAAAGAGCTCAAGCTGGTTGATAGGTCAAACTTCCCACGTACCAAATATTACGAGAACCACTTTCTGGGTCAGTTTTGCCGCCTCGTGCAGAATGTGAAAATTCGCATGGCAACTGAAAGTTGAGTTTACTAACAGTGAAATATTTTACCAAGTGCCTCAAGCACCTACTAAATCAAGGCACGATTCGATTTATTTTTACAGACAATTCTTTGATCCTCAAAAACATGCCAAGATCCATATGGTCTCGCCGACAATAATGGTTTGATTTAGCCAAACAAAGCAAAGCAACGGGCAGGAACTCTAAGGAAGTGACAAAGTCAAGCGAGGGCGAGAACGGAAGGCTGAATGAAAAGATAGACCCAGGTTTTTTTTTAACTATGCTTGGTTTGTTTTGAAATGTTGTTCATTAGATGAAGTCCACAACTGACCTAAACATTTTCTGCGTTATTAATTGCTACTGTCATATTTTTCTTAGGGCAAAGCACATAAAAAGATGGAGGTCAAAGCATAAGTGTGAGTAACCGGCATATTTGAAAGCGGCGTCGAATCAGTGACGAAGGACCGTAGATCCGGGTGCAAACACTTTTAAAGCCTACTGAAAGATTCTAGTTTCTCATCAAGGGAACACAATCACCAACACCAAATTACACATTTTAACGCGCCATCTCTTTAAATTCAATTTCTTTTACCGATGTTACCATCATTAACGGTCATTCAGTCGGTTCTTTCCAGCAGATCGTAAACACTTCAATTTAAATCGAAACCGAACCGAAAGCAACCCGCGAAAAACGCCAAGTCACTCGGCGACCTGATTGGTCAAGAGAAGGACATCTTGTAAAACGCAACTGGACTCAAATCAAATAAAATTGAACGAGAAAAAACACTTGACTCAGTTGTAACTATGCTATAGAACGTTTATAAGGTAGTTTTCTTTCGGGTAGGCTCTTAGTTTCCTGAAAGCTTAACAATTCTGCAGTTCCTTTTGCATGTAATAGCGAGGACCGAGCGAAGTCCACTTCGGTCATCATGCCATAAGAGTGATTTTAAACAAACCCGGACAATCGCGAAGCGAATGTCCGATTTGTTTTTAAATGACGAGTATGATTAATGATGCTAAAACAGGACCTGCAAATAACCAGTCAGATTCGAGAGTTTGTTATTATCTATCTTGGCTTACAACAAAAGACCGCTAATAGCCATAAAATCGGAAAGAGAATTCAGGAATATCATTGGTAGCTTCTCCTATCCTTGCTTTTACTTCATACCTTCTTGAACTGTACTGGCGACGACTTTTCTTTACCAATTATTAGATACGTTCAAAATTAAAATAAGAATTATGTCTTTATTCATTGCAAAAATTATAAGCTAAAACGGCACAAATCTTTCTTAGCCGTATTGTTGATGTTTTAAGTCAGCGTTTTAATAAAAATTAACCTGCACTTCGATATTATTTGCATTCGCTAGAGCCAAGAGAAAATGAGTGTGCTAGAGCCTAATCAGCGGGTAATTAGATTTTTTCGTGTTTTTCTACCCGTAGTTGTAAGCCTTCAAGTCAGTGATATCGCGAGGCAATAATTAAGACGGCTGTCAATGACAGCAACTCAACAATAGCATCATCTGGCCGATTAAAGTAACCTTTTTTTTTTTTCTAAAGGTCAATTATTTGATCTTGGAATCGCTACTTCCTTGACACTCGATATTTCGTGTCAAGATTTCCATAAACACATAAGAGCACAAATCTTTCTTTGCATTTTAACCAACTGTTCAATCGATCTGCACACGAGAAATAATGTAATCTTTTTTTAGAGTTGTTTTTCTTCATCAGCTGCAGAACTTTTGTTTTGTTTTAAAAGTTTCCACCTTTTTTATAATTTACCGGGTAATAAAATTCATGTTTAATTTGTCTTTGCGAGATATCTTCCTTGCTCTGAGGTCTAACTTATTTCCCTTTAGAATTAAAATCAAAGGTTTTTGCCTTGCCTACAGCGTTCTTTGAGTATTGTTTAAAACAATCTGGCAAAAAACAGGATGTTTTTCGAGCGATACCATGCTTTCTTAGTACAATACTAAACGGGTTCCTTTCATTTTCGTTTCCTCACAACACCTGCGTTTCGAACAAAACAGGTCAAAACAATACAAAAAAATCAAAAATTCAAGCATGCACGCAACTTTATCGCCTGGAAGCACTAGAAATCACAAGCATTTGGTATTTCCTCTTCAATCTTTCGCCCATGGGCCGGTTCCATGGGTGATGCCACTCAAGAGTTAGGAAAGCGTTGAAAAAAATCGCATCCTTCGAATGCCTTCAACGAAACAATTCGCTCGGTTCAGTGAATAGCGAATGCATGAACGGGCGACGCACATTAAAAGTTAGAACCATAACAGAGCAGAGCCAGTGATACGAATGAACACAAGTGAAGCACTGTAACACGATACTGTTCTGAAGACATTTGAGCCGCGCCTAGGAGGATGAAGTTACGAGGCCCTGTAAATACATCAGCCCAAAGTGTTCCCACCACTACCAAAGATTTGGCACAAACCTTAAGGTAATTTAAGACATGCGGTTTTCAACTTGATATTGTATTGTTATGAAAACGAACCTATACGGTTCACTTTTCACGTCTAAAGTTCACTTCATGCGACTTGAGAAACAATTGCAGCTCTCACTATTTTACCGCCTGTTCGCTGAACATTTGTTTGGAAACAAAGAGCATTTTCAAGTCTTAAAACGCTGTTTGAACAGCAGGGGCCCTCGCTCGATTAGGGAAGCCCTCAGTTTGATTTGATTGGTGATGTTTCGTGTAGAGAATCAAATAAATCGCTGCGGCCACTTTATCTTCAAAGTCTTTCACAACTATGAGAAGAGATTTTCGGGTCGCGCGTTTTCTTTTTCTGGTTTTATAAACTCTAGCGAATCAATTCGCATGTTTTTTTTTTCCGAAAAGATTTTAATCATACGGTGGTGCATTGTTACCTAATTAAAGAACATTGTTCATATTTTAAACGGAAACTTATTGACCGGTGGACCACTTGTTATCATTAACAATTTTCTCAGCGTTTTCTTCGACAATTTACATCCGGCTGTTTCTCTAGGCGGTTTTAATTTATAGTATTTTTTTCTCTTTTATAATAGAAAATTCTTTGAATTTTCCAGTTTTCAGGCTACAATTTTCTCAAGGCGAGAAATTCCACTTAATTTTCTAAACTTTTTAATACACGAACAAACACAATTCCTGGCTATCCGAACTTTGTTTCGCGGCCGGTGTGTGTGAATTTAAAATTGTGACTACTTGTTGAATTTGTAATTTAAAAACTTTTTTCATCCGTTTCACAACTAAATAACTTAAATCAATAACTAGATTTTCCATTGAAAACTGTAGAAAACTCATGATTGTGATTGTGAAACGACAACTTTCTAACTTTCTACTGGAGAGATTGTTCCTAAATTGAGTTCCAAAACTAACGGGTTTATTATTAACATCATAATATTAAATCGCCCTATTGATTTTCATAAATTGCTATTAATGTCAGTGAATCAGTAACCTTTTTAACTGATAACGTTATCAGTTTTCCTGGCCCAAGAAAAAGAATATTTCACGTCTCTAATTGACCGGCCATTTGCTTGACAATGTCGTGTGACGTTTTGGATAAAAGCTTCATCTAACAAAGCTTGTCTTTCTTTCAGTACACCCCCAAATGGCAAGGCCCACAAGAGATCAATTCGTCGTCAGGAGCGAGAAGGCAGTCCAAAATGCTACCACTGTGACAGGGACGAAAACATCACTGTGGAACATTTCCTTGTGTCATGCTCAAAGTTTGAAGAAATCCGATCAGAGCTCCTCAGTCAGCTGAGAGGTGAACTTGAGGCTATTGGCGAGAGGGGCTTTCAGGTGTGGCAGAGATTCACAGCCAGCAGCCCAGCCTGCCAGTCGCAGATTATACTTGGAGCGCAAAGCTTTGGTGCCTTAGAGGACGAAGCTATAGATCACTTCCGGACAGAGTACGTCGCGAGGGCCTGGAGCGAGAGAATTGTCATTTGAGGTCGCTGATGAAAGTAACCTCGTTTTCAGATTTGTTATCCCGGATGATATTTTCTTCACTTTGTCCTTTGAATTCGTGTACTCAAGATATTTAACTATCGTTAATACCAGAAAATAACTTCTAAGCGTTACTGTACAAGCACTATTTGCAAATCCTAGATAAAACCTCATGAAAAATCTCCTTTTCTCCCGCGACTGTCGAACACCGGGCGCTAAGACGATTATCAGACAAGTCTCATTCATTTCTGTTTCGTTGCTTTAGCGTTGGGGTTTTTGAAACCAAAAAGAAATTTGAACAGATTAAAATTCAACGCGCTAACGAAACAAAAGAAAAACAAGAAAACAAAACAAAAGAAAGAAAAAGAAAAAATGAACAAACGGATCATAAAAAGAGACGAAAAAATACTTGTGAACAACAACTTTATTAAAAAAATGCTCAAATTTGACATAACAAGACAGATTAAACATAATTACCCAAGTGTAATAAGAAAAAAAATTATATTTAATACAATGCTTCAATAGACTTCTATATTCTTATACTCAGTATGAAAACAACTTTGTAGTAATAAAATATGCTGAAGGACATTTGCCCTGGAATTTTTCTTGCTGTCATTTTACCGTAATTATAACCTCATATAATGGGATATAATGTATAATATGCAATATATAATTTCCCAATAGACTATGACAAACACGGCCAACCAAGTCAATCGAAAAACGGTTGGCAATAAAAGTGTCGTTTTGAAAATTTTCAAAACAGACGCTCTTTGATTCAAAGAGCTGAAACACAGTATTTTAGGTCCTTTAGTAACAGACAATCTCTTTTCCAAGAACGTATTGGGCATTCACGTACAACCTTCTCCGAGTGTTTCGCTTTTCAATATCGAGGGTTCCACAGCGCTTGTTATGTGGTGCTCACTTTGGCGAATTCTGAACTCAGAGCTTTCATGACATCCTGGTGTGAAAATCTATCATTGTCGCTCTTGATGCGTGCGTAGTTCTGCTTGACAAATAACGCAAATTTGCTAGGAGTCCTTGTCTGTGGTGTTCCGTCCTTCTTTAACTGAGGAACAAGTTCCAGCCGGCTATTTGAAATGAGAAAGGTAAGGGAAGAACCATAAGGAAGAAACATAATATTCTCGAGGAGGGCTCGGGCAATTTCTTTGAGCACGAATTTTTTTTTTCAGGGTAAGGGAGTGCGAGAATTTTTTTCAGGGTGAGGGAGAGCCAGATTTTTTTTCTTTTGTTCCATGTGTCTAAGCAGGGTTCGTACTCTTTTGAGCTATTCAAATTCCATGACTTTTCATGACCTTTTTCATTTTTCCACGACCTTAAGTTTACCTGTCACTTTCGAAAATCTGCATTTTTTGTAATCTCTGGCATTCGCTTAAGTGCGTGTAGTTCAAAATTCGGTAACTCGCCTTTAATTTATTTTGTCCTTGTCTTGACATGTGCAGCGATGAACGTACCAGACTTAACTATCATTTTCCATGACCAGCAAATTAAATTCCATGACTTTCCACGCCTGGAGAACAAAATTCTTGAATTTCATGACTTTCCAGGTTTTCAATGACCCGTGCGAGCCCTGTCTAAGGCGTGGCTCGCTTTGTACGATTTGTTTTGTCGCTTTATCTTGTACAGAATTTTTTGGGGTATTCCCCTTCCCGCCTCTCCTACTCCCCCTTTATCTAAAATATAACGGACCATCCCTTACAAAGCTTTAAAGCTCTCGGTTGAAGCCGTTATTATTTAGGCTGTTGCTTTGTTGCAGAAACTTTAACAGCGTTCAGTGTAATGGCTGTATCGAATTCACATGTCAATCACAACAAACGAAAAACACGTAGACATCTTGTCAAAAAAGTGAAAAACTTAAGTTTACCTGTGGCAATACGCACATCGGCTTTTCTCCAAATTCACTGACTTAGAATGCCGCCCAAATCTAAAAAACAACAAAAAATTAGCAAGACTCACTTAGCGTGCGGGCTGCATAGCGTTGTTAAAAAGGCTAATTCTGGCGTACTCACATGTTGGCGCAATTGTTGTTGGTACATCTGTACGTGTATTTAGCATTGATGGTGTAACTGTGACATCGAGATATCGGCGGTAGGTCTTGGTGAGCACGGTTAGCTCTAAGTGTCCTGCAAAGGATTCAAGACAAGACATAGCTTCCCAAACGTTTTTCTACGCCATTATAAAACGACAATAGTTCAAGATTTAATCATAATATTTCGTATTTTCTGACGAGGAAAGATTCCTACTAAACAAAGAGAGTCTCACCATTTTTTCCACACAGCTCCGTGACCGGCTTTGACTCCGCTGATCATCCAGGCGGCAGCGTGACACATCTCGTGGATAAGAGTGTCACGCAATCGGTCTGATGAAAAAGAATCGCAAGGTAGGGCATAGTCGAGGGCGTTTTAGTTTCAGATAAAAAAAAAAAAGTTCTGTATCACACGAACATAAAATCGTCCAAAATGACACTTACAATCTAACAAGTTGTCTTCCAGTTCATATTTCAAGCAAAGGCGAGGACAAAAATTATAAGTTATTTGCGTTTCTATACAAAACAGCCCCTAAAATGCTTTCTATATTCAGCAAGTATAGCAAGTACCACACAACAGTTTCATACCTGCCGAGTCTATGACTTTGTCTGCTAACTCAATCCTGGCCACACGGAGGCCATTTTTCCTGAAAAAATGAAACAATATTTAGTGCAACTGGGAGTGAAGGAAATCCAAGGGTTCAAAGCAAGCCGGGAAACAGTTAGACCGTTTTGTGAGCCCGCGTTCCTTGCCCCACACCACGGATGTGACGTCATGGACAAGCGCTACAATAAGAACCCAAAGTATCGCCCCCAGACAACAAGCCGCCCAGCCGAAAATAGATGAAAAGCTATGAAGGATTTGAAGCAAAAACATGCAATCGGTAATCAGCGAGTGAAAACCGGAGAGACAAGTCAAAACAAAAAACAAACAAACAAACAAACAAACAAACAAACAAACACGCAACAACCACAAAACACGTTCGCCACGGCTGGATTATGATTGAATTACGAAAGAAATATAACTTACTTGCTGTAATAGCAGAATCCTGCGGTGCTACGCATTCTCGGATTCCATGTAATCTGGAAATCTGACGGCATCTGTAGAGTAAGGCAAATTTGGTATTTGCAGTCCTATTTTTGAGATTCAAAAACTTGATATTCTATTGCAGAGTTTTCCGCACAAAAAAACCAATATAATCTCAGAAATACGCACAGCAGCGGGAACTATAACAAGAAACAGGTAAAAAACGTCAAGCGCGGGAAAAGTAATAATAAAAACGCAAGAGCGCGGGAAAAAGAGAAACTGGCGCCAAGCGCAGGGAAGAAAATGCAGAGGCGCGGGAAAAGTCCCCCCCCCCCCCCCCCCCCNCCCCCACCTCCTTAAAAACCATGACACTGCTGTTATTTTTATACCTGATTATCGAAGACCGTTCGGTTGTACAATTCAAACAGTTCCTTGACAAGTTTATCCTTGCTCTTCTTGAACTCTTTTTCAGTGGAGTATGGGACGAGAATGTTGTCCAAGATGCTTTTAGGACGGGAAGAATGGTTGGACGACAATACTCCTAAAAAAGAGTGAACCGGCCAATACAAAACCAACAAAAACAAAAAGGGGTAATTAAGAGATCAAGGAGATTACGAGATCAACAAATGTAAACAAAACTGGACAATGAACATCTTTATTGTTTACATGAGCCTTTGCGCTCTCGATTATTTTCTATCTTGTTAGTGTCTGTGCCTTTGTTAATACATAGTTTCAAAATGAAGCGCTGTTTTAACAAATCTTGGACAATCTGTAATGATTATGATCTACATTTAACTTAGCATATTACGTAAAAATCCCTGAATTAATCTTACTTGCAAGTGATTTGTGTACGTAAGAAATATAAGGCATTGTAAGTAAGTAATGTTAGTAACATAATGTAGTGTAAGCGAGGTAATGTAATGTATTGTAAGTGATGTACGTAAGTAATATGTAGCATATTGTAAGCAACTCAGTAATTTTATGCAACGTTTTGTAAGTAGGTTATGTCGTATGTAGTGAGTAAAGTCTGGAAGTAATATGGCGTACTGTAAGAAGTTAATGTAAAATAACATTTTGCAAGTGATAATTGTTAACTAGGAATGTAGCAAATTATAAGTCGATTTTAGTACTGTGTTGTAAATTGTAAGCTTTGTAATGTAAGTATTCTGTGATTGTAATGTAATATGTACAGAGTAAATAAATAAAAAAAAATCTTACTTGAAGTAGGTGTCTTAAAAAGGGTAGAACTTGTGGCTGCAACCAAGGAAAAATAAAAAAAAATAAAAAAAAATAAAAAATAAAAAACAGAGGAAGCAAGCTTAAAATGCATGACTTGAAAATCTCTTGTAGTAGTAGTAGATCCACAGTAAAAATAATTGTTTGTTTAAACTTGAATTGCATCTTTATACTGTTGAACAGCTGGGCAAGAGACAAATTCTTTTTGTTAAACAATGCTAGCATGTAAGCTTATGTTTTTTTTTATCTCACATTAACCTTACTTGATTTAGGACTATTGAAATTCAAAGGAGTGTGATAAGTTGAGGCTGAAAAAAAAACAACACATTTTGCGAGGAGAAAGCTTAAAATGGATTTCTCTTCTCTTGGGATTTGGTAAGTTAAAGTTGGAGGGTAGTGGGGGATGGGGGTGGTCTTTAAAACATCTCTAGGTCCTGGTTTTAGTCATGGCTGGGTCATTCTTTCTGGGTGGGTCAATTTAGGAAAAATTTTTTAACAAGATTGAATACTCCAACTAATGTACCTGGAGTTGCTATCTCAATGTCTTCATTTTCCTTGCCATCATCAGATATTTCCTCCAGTTCTGGGGTGAACCCAGGATCAAAAAACATGTCATCTTCCTGATCTTCATCATCATCATCATCATCATCAGCCACAATAAACTCATTTGTGCTATACCAATGGAAAAACACCATTGTGAAAAAAATAAATAATTGGATCAATACCATTTCTTGCATCAATTGCAACACATGAACTTTTCAATTTTAATCAAACAAAATTTAACAGAAAGGGATCATGTCTACTTAAGTCATCTGCGGTCGAATGCCCATCAATACGCTCAATCAGCACTCGATTAGCACTTGTTCAACATCTCAGTTGACAGTTGGTCGAGAGTCAACTAATTTTCGCAGACGTACCATTGAGTGTTGATCGATGCATTTGAGTCAGTCTACACTCGGCCAACTATCGTCAAACTGTTGATCAAGATGTTTGTCAAGTTTTGATTGAAGGTACCAATCGGCACTCGACCGCAGAGGCCTTTAGTTCACATGATCCATGGAAAGCTAGTGCAAATTCTTTGCTATAATTTAACATGAACTTTTTGTTAGTTTCTGGGGAAGTTTACACATTGCAAGTTTAATTATAATAATTATTGATAATATTAAGCTCATTTAATAATAATCATGTTATCTAAATATGAGTTATTTAGCTCTTGGGGAGCTTCCTGCTTTGTTTTCAATCAATGTTTGTAAAAAGAATAAAACCCACCTTTCTTCTCTTTTTTTCCTTCCATCATACAACTCTGATGGTTTAGGAGTCCTAATTTTCTGCAAGACTAAAAACAACAATCTCAATATTACCAAATGAATTGAAAATGCCAAACTGAGAAACAAAATTATTTAACAGAATATACTTATGATAATATGAAAGATGTACATACAAAGTTCAAAGTCATCCATGTCGCTTTCACTCTTCTCTGGATTATATTTCTTGAAGAGCCTTGCACTTAAGCTATAAAAATCAATTAACAAAATTATACTTGCAGTTTATATTTGCAAATGTAAAATTTCACGATGCAGCTCTTTAGTCCACAGCTGGCCAAAGGAAGTTCATAGATAAGTTGATAACCTGTGCATAGATTTTAACGAGCTATCAGGAAATGAGGCATCTTCAATTCCATTACTGCTGTCATCATTCATGCTGTGGAAAGAAGGTAAAACAAGACCTTAAACAGGAATTTAATTTGCAATTTCTGACAATGTGCTTAGAACTATACAAAGAGCTAATTCACTGAGTAGGAGGGCCGGACGAAAAACAAAAAAAAAATTTGTTCAAAGCCTTTCAGTTTGGCATGAACCTTAGTGCCCTAGTTTGGTACAAACTGATTGAGAAACAAATATTTTTCCCCCCTGGCCCAACATGACTCAGTCAGTTATTACGGTACTGATCTTGAGTTTGTTGGAAAACCTTGAAATGTCTTGGTGAACTACTAATTGTGCGCATGTGCTAGATAAATAACTGGCATTTGTAGGATGTCATTTTCCAGGTGGGCTCACATTAGCCTATTCTTGCATCACAGCTTGCACTATTGTTAACTTTGCTAGCATTGAGTTAGTGAGGATGTATGGTGGCATGATAACTAACATTATTGTACCTGTATCTAGTTGGCCTCTTTTGAAATTTATATTGAAGCAGCTCAATTGCATCAAAATTGTACCTTCTGTTCAACATTTCTAATCTGACACAGGCATAGCTCCAACAAGCACAGTTGTGAAATAACTCAAATTTATCTTCAGCTGATATTTTAATTTTCTTACCTAGACTTGGGTCTGGTTGATTCTGTTGATAAGTTGCTTTCATCGTCACCATGTACTTCATGGGAGTTAATCAAGAGGGATGCCAAATGGTGTGACTTTGCTTCATTATCCTCGATATCTTCAAAAACATTGTCTTCATTCTCATAATCATCATCAATGCCATCATGTCCAGCATTGTTGTCTTCATCATCAGAGCACCTTTTGCTATTATTATGAGAATAAGACTCCTCAACAGTGGACACTTCACCAGTCTTTACAGGACTGTCTGAAACACTAACATCTTCAATCATGATACATGTGTTACTGTAATCACTCCTGAAAAAATGCAAAAGCTCAATTAAAGAATAATTCAATACACATCCAGAACTTGAAAGGCTTATTGAACACCTCTTTAGAAGAAGACTAAGATGCTGGGAACGATCATATCGTACTTCCAGAAGCCTACAAAGACATTGCACGAGCATGAATTACATGGTCACGCTTCCAAGCTTTGCGTTACGTTACTTTAAGACAGCAAACTTTGCTTTCATATCACTGATGAAGGCTTAAGCATTAGCCGAAACGTCTGTCGAAACATATCAAGAGTCAGTGTCAAACCTTTTTCCATAGAACTTATGACATCTCCCAACTACACTTTTCCCATTTTTAAACACAAGACTAAGTTAAGTCTTTGGGTAGAACCTTAGTGTGTGACCATTGAGATGTAAGCTTATTGAACACCGTACGTTCATGTGGTACTATTTATTATGCTGCACAAGGTGGCTCTAACTTTTATGTCTGAGGATGAAACCCTACATGTAGTGTGTAACCATTTGGACGAAAGCTATTGAGCAGTACTTTGATGTGTTACTGTTTATTATGCTGCACAAGGTGGTTCTAACTTTTATATAGGATGAAACCTTATTGGGCAGTACTTTCACGTGGCAAGGATGATTTCTCAACTTGTCTAATTTATACCCAGAGAAGCAGCCTCATTTTTGACACTTTTAATCTCACTGACAATCATCACAGTCTGATGCTTTCTGTCTAATTATTGGTTCCTTATGGTGCCTTACCTAGACTTAGGAGGGTGGATTAAGTCTGTCGATACGTCACCTCCACTACCACCATCTATTTCATTGGACTTAACCAAGAGCGACGCTAAATGGTGTAGATCTTGTCCAGTACCCTTGTTCCTAACATCTTCATTAGCATCATCGTCATCATCATTGTCAGCGTCATCATGTTCATTGTTACCATTTCCATTGTCACAATACTCTTCATTGTAACTATGGGAACCCAATTCCTCACTAAGGGACACGTCTCTGGTCTTTACAGGACTGTCAGCAATGTCGATATTCTCAATGATGTTATTGCTATGATCATTCCCGCATTTAGTGAAAAAATAGACAAAAATAGTAAAACATCAATTGGGGAAAAATTGCATTTTACAGTCATGATGTCAATTATATTAACATCCTCTGAATGCTGAAGTTACTTTGCTGAATTTCCTCTTATGTTTAGATTGTGGATAGATCCATACTGCCCGTCTACTCAAATGAAAGCTCGCAAGCATAGGACTTTCATGTGGTGATTATTTTTCAGTTTTGCTCTGTTTGTACTTCCTAAGCATTTATGTGTTCAAAACTTCTAATCTGACTTACCAGTAATAACAGACAGTTCTGAAATCTTTAATTTGCTCACCTGGATTTGGGGCTGGACAATTCTGTGGACAGGTCACTCTCACTGTTACCATCTCTTTCATTGAAGTTAACCAAGAGGGGTGTTGAATGATATTCTGCAACACTGGGCATCTTGTTTGGATTTATAAGACTAGAAATAATGATGCCTTCAAAGTTGTCATTGCTCTGATCATTCCTGCTATAAAGGGGGAATATAACACAATGCGACGGGTAAATTTTAATTAGCACTTTAAACTTCATCAGCAGATACCAGTCTGCAACCTGACAAAGTGTCTGCTAAGTATAGGAGACTGTGTATAGAAGGTAACCTTTGGAAAAGGCTCAACTGTAATTTTCATTGTACATTAATATTTATGAGTGGAATACTTTTAATTAGTAAACTTCCTCTGTGTGTTGTACATCACTTTATAAGCCCAACTAGTGCTTCTGACATGGAGAAACATAATGTTGTATCCCCGCCACTGGATGAATTTGTGTTTGGTGGTCCCAGATTCAATTCCTCCACGCTTTGTAAATAGCCGACTGGTTGTTCTCCCGCCAGTTGGGGTTTTTAAAAAGTTTCTGTTTAATTTACAATATTTTTTTGTTCATTTCAGTGTCCTCAATTAGCACAGTAGTGCTAAAGACTTTGACAATTAAATAAAGTGATTTATTTATTTATTTATTTATTCACAGAAAGCTACTTTCACATGACAATTGGCTATTTTCAGAGAAGCAAGACAAAATCTGAGGCAAGTCTCATCTTACAGTTGCTCGTGAGAATGTTACTGGAAAAAAACACAACTACAGATGACAAAGTAATGGTCCCAAGAGCAACTGTGAGATGACGCTTCCCCAAGATTTCTTTTCACTTCCAAAGTGGTGAGTCAAAGGTAAGTTTTGAATTTTTCACTTTAATCCGACACAGGCATACATGTAGTTCTGAAAAACATGGCTCTGAATTTATCTTGGTGTTTTTAATCAGGTTACCTGGACTTAGGGCTGGTTGATTCTCTTGATAAGTTACTTTCATCATCACCATCTACTTCATGGGAGTTAACCAACAGGGGTGTTAAACGGTCTGGCTCTTGTTGAATTTCATAGCTATCGTCAAAACACTTATCATTGACACTGCAGATGTCATCATCTCCTTTACTGTCATTTAAATTGTCAAAGTACTCTTCACTGTTGCTATGAGAACAAGATTTCTCAACACTGGACACCTCACTGGTCTTTACCGGACTATCTAGAGAGATACTGATGTCTTTGANGCATATTGTAAGCAACTCAGTAATTTTATGCAACGTTTTGTAAGTAGGTTATGTCGTATGTAGTGAGTAAAGTCTGGAAGTAATATGGCGTACTGTAAGAAGTTAATGTAAAATAACATTTTGCAAGTGATAATTGTTAACTAGGAATGTAGCAAATTATAAGTCGATTTTAGTACTGTGTTGTAAATTGTAAGCTTTGTAATGTAAGTATTCTGTGATTGTAATGTAATATGTACAGAGTAAATAAATAAAAAAAAATCTTACTTGAAGTAGGTGTCTTAAAAAGGGTAGAACTTGTGGCTGCAACCAAGGAAAAATAAAAAAAAATAAAAAAAAATAAAAAATAAAAAACAGAGGAAGCAAGCTTAAAATGCATGACTTGAAAATCTCTTGTAGTAGTAGTAGATCCACAGTAAAAATAATTGTTTGTTTAAACTTGAATTGCATCTTTATACTGTTGAACAGCTGGGCAAGAGACAAATTCTTTTTGTTAAACAATGCTAGCATGTAAGCTTATGTTTTTTTTTATCTCACATTAACCTTACTTGATTTAGGACTATTGAAATTCAAAGGAGTGTGATAAGTTGAGGCTGAAAAAAAAACAACACATTTTGCGAGGAGAAAGCTTAAAATGGATTTCTCTTCTCTTGGGATTTGGTAAGTTAAAGTTGGAGGGTAGTGGGGGATGGGGGTGGTCTTTAAAACATCTCTAGGTCCTGGTTTTAGTCATGGCTGGGTCATTCTTTCTGGGTGGGTCAATTTAGGAAAAATTTTTTAACAAGATTGAATACTCCAACTAATGTACCTGGAGTTGCTATCTCAATGTCTTCATTTTCCTTGCCATCATCAGATATTTCCTCCAGTTCTGGGGTGAACCCAGGATCAAAAAACATGTCATCTTCCTGATCTTCATCATCATCATCATCATCATCAGCCACAATAAACTCATTTGTGCTATACCAATGGAAAAACACCATTGTGAAAAAAATAAATAATTGGATCAATACCATTTCTTGCATCAATTGCAACACATGAACTTTTCAATTTTAATCAAACAAAATTTAACAGAAAGGGATCATGTCTACTTAAGTCATCTGCGGTCGAATGCCCATCAATACGCTCAATCAGCACTCGATTAGCACTTGTTCAACATCTCAGTTGACAGTTGGTCGAGAGTCAACTAATTTTCGCAGACGTACCATTGAGTGTTGATCGATGCATTTGAGTCAGTCTACACTCGGCCAACTATCGTCAAACTGTTGATCAAGATGTTTGTCAAGTTTTTATTGAAGGTACCAATCGGCACTCGACCGCAGAGGCCTTTAGTTCACATGATCCATGGAAAGCTAGTGCAAATTCTTTGCTATAATTTAACATGAACTTTTTGTTAGTTTCTGGGGAAGTTTACACATTGCAAGTTTAATTATAATAATTATTGATAATATTAAGCTCATTTAATAATAATCATGTTATCTAAATATGAGTTATTTAGCTCTTGGGGAGCTTCCTGCTTTGTTTTCAATCAATGTTTGTAAAAAGAATAAAACCCACCTTTCTTCTCTTTTTTTCCTTCCATCATACAACTCTGATGGTTTAGGAGTCCTAATTTTCTGCAAGACTAAAAACAACAATCTCAATATTACCAAATGAATTGAAAATGCCAAACTGAGAAACAAAATTATTTAACAGAATATACTTATGATAATATGAAAGATGTACATACAAAGTTCAAAGTCATCCATGTCGCTTTCACTCTTCTCTGGATTATATTTCTTGAAGAGCCTTGCACTTAAGCTATAAAAATCAATTAACAAAATTATACTTGCAGTTTATATTTGCAAATGTAAAATTTCACGATGCAGCTCTTTAGTCCACAGCTGGCCAAAGGAAGTTCATAGATAAGTTGATAACCTGTGCATAGATTTTAACGAGCTATCAGGAAATGAGGCATCTTCAATTCCATTACTGCTGTCATCATTCATGCTGTGGAAAGAAGGTAAAACAAGACCTTAAACAGGAATTTAATTTGCAATTTCTGACAATGTGCTTAGAACTATACAAAGAGCTAATTCACTGAGTAGGAGGGCCGGACGAAAAACAAAAAAAAAATTTGTTCAAAGCCTTTCAGTTTGGCATGAACCTTAGTGCCCTAGTTTGGTACAAACTGATTGAGAAACAAATATTTTTCCCCCCTGGCCCAACATGACTCAGTCAGTTATTACGGTACTGATCTTGAGTTTGTTGGAAAACCTTGAAATGTCTTGGTGAACTACTAATTGTGCGCATGTGCTAGATAAATAACTGGCATTTGTAGGATGTCGTTTTCCAGGTGGGCTCACATTAGCCTATTCTTGCATCACAGCTTGCACTATTGTTAACTTTGCTAGCATTGAGTTAGTGAGGATGTATGGTGGCATGATAACTAACATTATTGTACCTGTATCTAGTTGGCCTCTTTTGAAATTTATATTGAAGCAGCTCAATTGCATCAAAATTGTACCTTCTGTTCAACATTTCTAATCTGACACAGGCATAGCTCCAACAAGCACAGTTGTGAAATAACTCAAATTTATCTTCAGCTGATATTTTAATTTTCTTACCTAGACTTGGGTCTGGTTGATTCTGTTGATAAGTTGCTTTCATCGTCACCATGTACTTCATGGGAGTTAATCAAGAGGGATGCCAAATGGTGTGACTTTGCTTCATTATCCTCGATATCTTCAAAAACATTGTCTTCATTCTCATAATCATCATCAATGCCATCATGTCCAGCATTGTTGTCTTCATCATCAGAGCACCTTTTGCTATTATTGTGAGAATAAGACTCCTCAACAGTGGACACTTCACCAGTCTTTACAGGACTGTCTGAAACACTAACATCTTCAATCATGATACATGTGTTACTGTAATCACTCCTGAAAAAATGCAAAAGCTCAATTAAAGAATAATTCAATACACATCCAGAACTTGAAAGGCTTATTGAACACCTCTTTAGAAGAAGACTAAGATGCTGGGAACGATCATATCGTACTTCCAGAAGCCTACAAAGACATTGCACGAGCATGAATTACATGGTCACGCTTCCAAGCTTTGCGTTACGTTACTTTAAGACAGCAAACTTTGCTTTCATATCACTGATGAAGGCTTAAGCATTAGCCGAAACGTCTGTCGAAACATATCAAGAGTCAGTGTCAAACCTTTTTCCATAGAACTTATGACATCTCCCAACTACACTTTTCCCATTTTTAAACACAAGACTAAGTTAAGTCTTTGGGTAGAACCTTAGTGTGTGACCATTGAGATGTAAGCTTATTGAACACCGTACGTTCATGTGGTACTATTTATTATGCTGCACAAGGTGGCTCTAACTTTTATGTCTGAGGATGAAACCCTACATGTAGTGTGTAACCATTTGGACGAAAGCTATTGAGCAGTACTTTGATGTGTTACTGTTTATTATGCTGCACAAGGTGGTTCTAACTTTTATATAGGATGAAACCTTATTGGGCAGTACTTTCACGTGGCAAGGATGATTTCTCAACTTGTCTAATTTATACCCAGAGAAGCAGCCTCATTTTTGACACTTTTAATCTCACTGACAATCATCACAGTCTGATGCTTTCTGTCTAATTATTGGTTCCTTATGGTGCCTTACCTAGACTTAGGAGGGTGGATTAAGTCTGTCGATACGTCACCTCCACTACCACCATCTATTTCATTGGACTTAACCAAGAGCGACGCTAAATGGTGTAGATCTTGTTCAGTACCCTTGTTCCTAACATCTTCATTAGCATCGTCGTCATCATCATTGTCAGCGTCATCATGTTCATTGTTACCATTTCCATTGTCACAGTACTCTTCATTGTAACTATGGGAACCCAATTCCTCACTAAGGGACACGTCTCTGGTCTTTACAGGACTGTCAGCAATGTCGATATTCTCAATGATGTTATTGCTATGATCATTCCCGCATTTAGTGAAAAAATAGACAAAAATAGTAAAACATCAATTAGGGAAAAATTGCATTTTACAGTCATGATGTCAATTATATTAACATCCTCTGAATGCTGAAGTTACTTTGCTGAATTTCCTCTTATGTTTAGATTGTGGATAGATCCATACTGCCCGTCTATTCAAATGAAAGCTCTCAAGCATAGGACTTTCATGTGGTGATTATTTTTCAATTTGCTCTGTTTGTACTTCCTAAGCATTTATGTGTTCAAAACTTCTAATCTGACGTACCAGTAACAACAGACAGTTCTGAAATCTTTAATTTGCTCACCTGGATTTGGGGCTGGACAATTCTGTGGACAGGTCACTCTCACTGTTACCATCTCTTTCATTGAAGTTAACCAAGAGGGGTGTTGAATGATATTCTGCAACACTGGGCATCTTGTTTGGATTTATAAGACTAGAAATAATGATGCCTTCAAAGTTGTCATTGCTCTGATCATTCCTGCTATAAAGGGGGAATATAACACAATGCGACGGGTAAATTTTAATTAGCACTTTAAACTTCATCAGCAGATACCAGTCTGCAACCTGACAAAGTGTCTGCTAAGTATAGGAGACTGTGTATAGAAGGTAACCTTTGGAAAAGGCTCAACTGTAATTTTCATTGTACATTAATATTTATGAGTGGAATACTTTTAATTAGTAAACTTCCTCTGTGTGTTGTACATCACTTTATAAGCCCAACTAGTGCTTCTGATATGGAGAAACATAATGTTGTATCCCCGCCACTGGATGAATTTGTGTTTGGTGGTCCCAGATTCAATTCCTCCACGCTTTGTAAATAGCCGACTGGTTGTTCTCCCGCCAGTTGGGGTTTTTAAAAAGTTTCTGTTTAATTTACAATATTTTTTTGTTCATTTCAGTGTCCTCAATTAGCACAGTAGTGCTAAAGACTTTGACAATTAAATAAAGTGATTTATTTATTTATTTATTTATTCACAGAAAGCTACTTTCACATGACAATTGGCTATTTTCAGAGAAGCAAGACAAAATCTGAGGCAAGTCTCATCTTACAGTTGCTCGTGAGAATGTTACTGGAAAAAAACACAACTACAGATGACAAAGTAATGGTCCCACGAGCAACTGTGAGATGACGCTTCCCCAAGATTTCTTTTCACTTCCAAAGTGGTGAGTCAAAGGTAAGTTTTGAATTTTTCACTTTAATCCGACACAGGCATACATGTAGTTCTGAAAAACATGGCTCTGAATTTATCTTGGTGTTTTTAATCAGGTTACCTGGACTTAGGGCTGGTTGATTCTCTTGATAAGTTACTTTCATCATCACCATCTACTTCATGGGAGTTAACCAACAGGGGTGTTAAACGGTCTGGCTCTTGTTGAATTTCATAGCTATCGTCAAAACACTTATCATTGACACTGCAGATGTCATCATCTCCTTTACTGTCATTTAAATTGTCAAAGTACTCTTCACTGTTGCTATGAGAACAAGATTTCTCAACACTGGACACCTCACTGGTCTTTACCGGACTATCTAGAGAGATACTGATGTCTTTGACGACATTCCTAGAAGATTGTGCGATATAGGGAACATCCCTGCTTTGCACAGGACTATCTGAAATACTGATAACGTCAATGAAATTACTTTTGTGGGTCCTCCTGCAGAGAGAAAAAAGGTAAAATATGTAAATAACTCCTGAAGTCCAACCAGAACTTCCAGTCTGTGGATAGAATTCTAGGATCATGTGTACTAAAAGCATCCGCAGTAGAATGTTGATTGATTCCCTTGTCAGATCGACCTTTGATCAACACTCAATCGATATCTCAATCAATACTTGATCAACATCTTCACCAATACTTGGTTGACACTCGATCAACATCTTGATTGACACCTGATTGACATTTGATCAATTATCGATCAAAATGCGGCTGAATGTCAACCAACTCATATGTATCAATTGACACTCGCTGGCATACTCTCTCTGCGACAATTACTCGATTCTTGACCGATGTTTGAACGAGATATTGTTCAAGAGTCAATCGAGTGTCAACCAACATGTCAATTGAGGGTATCGATCGACACTTGACCGTGGACGCCTTTAGTACACATGATTTGAATTCTATTGTGTGGTGATGTGGTGATCTCAGTTTTTCAATTTTTGAAATTTGGCAGTGTTGTGTTCAATCCTTTGAATCTGTTGTCTTTTAGTGGTGTAGCTCTGAACAGCAAAGTGATAATTAACACTTAATTACTGGTCCTGAGGGAAACACTCAATTTTGTTTCCTGAGAATGTCAATGTAGCGGAGGGAAACGTTCAGATTCGGGGAGAACAAAATTAAGTGGTTTCCCAGAAGACATCTTATTAAAGTTACCTGTTATGTAGAACAATGGACACATACAAAGATTTCACATTATACAGCTGTTGGCAATCAACTCTTGTGGGTAACAGTTACACCCTAGGTTTTTCAATGTTGACCCCTCAGCCTGTTCCAGCTATAAAACTATCCAGTTTGTTCTCTTTAATTCTACCTTACCTGAACCTGGGTCTGGTTAATTCTACTGATGAGTCACTCTCAGAGTCAGATTTCACAGCGTGTGTCTCTCCTTCAACAGATCTGTGTTGTAAATCATTATAAGCATAACTGTCATTATCATTACTATCACCCTCCTCCTCCTCATCATCATCATCATTATCACTGCTACCAGTATGCCCATTATCGTCATTACTACTATGCTCTCTCTTGTTATGAGAACTGAATTTCTCAGTTTGGTACACCTCACTGATTTCTGATCCATTTGAGTGTTCCACCATTTCTCCATTGAAAAGGCCCATCTTGCTTGACAAAGAACTTTCCTTCTGTTCAGAGATATCAAGTTTTGTTCCACGATTAATTTCACCAAAGCCATCTCGATTTAAGTCAGAAAAACTTCCTATAGGGTCCTCAGCAACATCATCACAACCAAACTCATCCTCATCAACCTCGTCATCATCACCATTATCACTACCACTATCGATGATATCAAAACTAGTGTTACTTTCATCAACATCTATTACTTCTTCATTGTCAATATTTGTAAAAACTGTCTTGGACTTTTTAAGAATGCTGTTACTGGCTCCTTGGGATTTTACTGCTTTCTCCACCTGAAAAAGAACAAAAGAGCAACAGGCAAATCAATGACATGACTGAAAGTCAAATCACACAAGTGAATAAATGTATAGTGTGAATCTGAAAAGTGTGAGGACTTTGAACTGACTTTGTGGTGTTGTGTTGCAACCAAGCAGATGACAGATGATCCACATGGGTAATAACCCCCTGGGGCGAGTCCCTTTTTAATATAAAAATGAGGAGCGAGGTTCTTTTTCTGCGTGCTTATGGGCCTCGACTCCGTCTCGGTCCATAAACATGCAAAAAGAGAACTTGGCCAATATCCAGCCATCTTGACCTCACACTTGGTCAATAACCCATATATA